TTACAATATGAAGTGACATTAATCAGCAGGGGTCCTCTTACACACACATAGAGGCATAAAACAAACATGCAAATCATACACACAGACGTGCACAAGCCTACAGCTCAAAAGAACATATGTTTGAGTGTTGAACTGCTCTTTTATTTGATATTATTTTAAATGTTAAAAAGAATTTATCACTGGCCTTTTGCAAGATAAATTCAGACATATTGTAAAGAAAAAAGATAGTCAAGCAGCCAAGGGCAGAGAGGTGGACAAATGAATAGCTGTTCGTAACACTTTTTGTAATTATTTTTCCTCACCCAGCCTCTGGAATAAAAAAGTGATTTAGAGGCCGGTGGCAGACATGGGTACTGTCCTAGAGCTTGGTGACTTGTTGTAAAGAATGCAGTGCCGCCCCTAGAAATTTTTCATATGGGTGGCCAGATGGAGCTACTGAAAAACACCAAAAGCTGTGGTCGGAGTGTGACGCAGTAGCAAAAGTAGATCGCTGGCTATGCATTTGTTATTTTCTTTCACATGAACTGTTAGGAAAAAATACATTATTGATTTAAATGAACAGTACCTAATGCAAAACAACAGATAGAAGCACATAGGCATACAATGCTCATTACTTAAAAGTATATTAAGTGTATGCGACTTACAAGGAGGGTCAGTGGTGGACCAGTCTTGTATCAGGTGGCTGTGCCCCCCTCCCCCGGCCACCCCTTGGCAGCTCCACTGGAAAAATGTACTGGAATTGAGTGTGCAAACAGCTTGAAATGATAAAAGAGCACATTGTTTTTAGAACTGTGAGTGCAAGGGGTGTGTCACTAATTAACTCACTGATTCCTTTCACTTTTTAGTCATTTGGTAGTTAGACATGGCTTCGTTTTATACTGTACGTCTCTCTTTCCTTCTGATGTGCATATTCACTGAGGTGTTGGCACTGCGGGGATGATCATTCAGCCTGTCAGGTTTGGCACTGCTAAAATAACTCTTGTCCCTGAGTTGAAGGACCTTCACTTCCCTCCAGGGCCTTTTTGCAAGACCTCTGCCCCAGTTCACCCAGGGCAACCTAGGCTCCTCCTCTGTGCATGTGTGTGTGTGGAAGTATGTGTGCATGTGTGTGTTTGCACTGTCTCCTTACTGCAGGGGAAACTGTTGAAGGTCAAAGGGCAGGAAGTTGGCCACCTGCCTCTGTCACACTAGTAAAAGTAGTAGAGCAGAGAGAGGAAGTGGTAGCAGGAGAGTTAAGACATGGCAGAAAGTACGACTTAATATACACTATCTGTGCATGCTTTGACAGGTCAGATGGGTTGTAGGATAAAAGTCCTAAAATAAGTAAAAAGCATTGTCACATCCTCTAAAATCTTCAGCACTTTCTGATGTTTTTTTTTTTTCACTGAACATTTTGTTGACCTTTGTGAAACTTAGTTTATCAGATCTGCAGACTTTATGTCTGATTAAAGGAACCGACTGCTATAGGCTTTTGAGTTCCCTAGGACCACTGCTGAATAACCTGGTACAGGGATCTCTCCATTGGTATTTGCTAGAGGCGACAACCCTTCTCGTTCCCTGCATAAATGTGCCAACCGAGGACGAGAGCATAGAAGGCCAGAGGGCAAAAAGGGAGTGAACCACCTGCTTCTGTCACACTGTCAGGATGAAGGCGGACGAGTGCAAATAGGGTGAAGTGTGTGTGTATGTGAATGGGTTGGGTGGGGGAAATTGTGTAGGAGGGGGACAGGTGGCACGCCGGACAGCGCTGGCACAAGCCACCCCAGGATTTATCACTCAGCGACAGTCACGGCTGGGCAGGGGACAGATGTTTCTGTTTACCCCAGGGCAACATCTGACTGGCCGAGCCTAACGTTAGCCCAACCAGCCTTGCCCACACAGGACAGGGCCTGAGAGGATAGAGAAGAGGAAAAAAAAAAGAGACAGAGGAAAGGAGAAGAAACTGGAGGATGTTCAGTTTGCCCCCAAGGCACATAAGCAAGTTAGCTCATTTCTCTCCAGTCTGCTCCATCCTCCTCTGAAGCACCTGAAACTCATTTAGCCCCCCACTAACTGTTGTGCCACTATAGGGAACCGTTTTAATAAGTAGTAATAATGCCAACTGACAATATGAGCTGTTTTCAAAGCAGGGAACCTGCACCAGTTATCGGGTGAAACAAAACAATTCTAATTATCCTTGAGTATTCTACATCTTCACATCGTTAGAAAAGCAGACACAAATGCACAGCACTTGTTGTGGAGTTATTTAAGGTCTATTTAGTGAAAGCCTTTTTGCATTAGTGTATCGTGTCTGTTGAGAGCTGCCACTGGTAATATAGCTGGAGCAGTTATCCCCGTTGCAATGAGGAATGACCTTTAGGTTCAACCCTGAGTGAGGTCATGTCAGTGTTACCATGGCTACTATCAGCAGACTGTACTGTTGCCAGCATTACCTCAGCTGCATGGCATTGTCGGGGTCAGAGAACAGGCTGTGACCTCCCCATGGTGACCAGACTCAACTGGGAACAAAAACACCACCAAGACAAATACTAGTAGTGTAGTATGATTTTCTATTAATGAAAATGTGTGGAGGACACGACAACACCAGATGCAAAAGTTTTAAATTCCTACACTGATTTATGTCTGGAATAAGTCAGCCTGCTAAATTGAGTTTGATATTACATGGAGTTTGCTATCATTAATTACCACTTATGTGGTGTAATAAGCAAAGGGTGGATACACAGAGCAAGATTTAACACTGACTAAGTCATCCAGCATGAAAAAGCTTCATGGGGAATTTAAGCTTCTCTTGGATTGTTCGTACAAAATGTGGAAGCATAAAAACTACTCTCAGGATCCACCAACATCTATCTGTGACTTCATTAAGACATACAAACCAAAGCTGCATTGTTTGCATTGCAGTAACTGACCTGTACCAAACCTCTTAAAGTCACCGTTTCCATCTTTTACTAATTTCTAGCTCATCTGTGCAGTGGCACAAAACCACACACAGTATATGTAGCACAAACTCTTTGTCAAAGTGGAATGTTTTTACCAGCAGAACTATAACCGATATCTATTATACTTTTTCCCCCCTCGAGGTAATTTGAGCAATCGTCTAGAGGTCTTGCCACGCATATTTTCTGCTGTCCACCAAAATACAGACAATGTGCAAAAAACGCAGAAACCGAAAAGATTATTTAACCTTTTCCTTGTAGCAACTCGTGGACTCATTGGTCGAAGCACCTGTCTATAGGCTGTCCATCTGCAGGTAAGAAACATAGCTGTCTACTTACAATAAGTCTATTAAAACTGTAATGTAAACCATTTTAATATTCAGTATCGCAACCCAACATTATCCTCTCCACAAATGAAAAACCTAATGGGATGTCTTAATCATTTCATGCAGGACTTATAATATATAACTCTTTTCTATTTGTGGAACATGTTTGTCCACTCTCCTCCTGATAGGCCCCATTTAATCATGTTGTTCTGTTTCCTAATTAGCAGAAATGCAAAGTGTCTTTGTCACCTGTGGACAGCCAAGAGGGCTAATTTGGGCTTTTCACTAATTGCCACGGTAACGAGCCTCCTGCGCCTCCGCTGGGGGTGGGTGGAAGGCATGGCAGGAGGAGGACTGGAGGATGGAAGGATGGAGGGATGAAGACACAGCTCTCCTCACACACGGCCGAGGTGTGAAAGAACGCGGCAGGCCAACAGAACGCAGCCTGGAGGAGTCCAACAGCAGGGAGTGGGGGACAGCCTGCGCTGTGAAAAAGCCCCAACACCCAGCTGAGAGGGAGGAGGATTCAGCTCTGGCCAGTTTTGGTATCTCAACTTTGATGAGGAGATGACTACATTGGGTTGGATAATTGTTGGACATTTTTCTGACACTGACACCTGTTATTGCCCCCACCTGACTTAATACCAGTTCCCACACAATGTGCCTTTTCTTCTGTTCTTTTAATAGACAAATTGTAGGTATAACTCAGCGGGCAGTTTTTAAATTAGAAACCTGACATGTATGAAGCCTGTGTGGGAGAAATAGGAGGAAGCGAAGACAGAAATAAACCAAAAATAAAATATTGGATGTTTGATAATATTGATGATTTTTTATTATTAACTAACCTATAATTCAAGTTACAGCTTTTGGTTGTTGTTTTTCTTCATGCAACTTTATTTTGGAAATTATGATGAAAGGGTAGCCTAGAAGAAACTTTTCAGGGAAATAGTGTGTATAGCTTGAAATGTCTTCCTGTAATACCCTGGATGTGAATAGTATAACACTACTAACCACTTATAAGCAATACAGCCTACAAAAATTAGCATTACACTTAAACTTACATATAAATGTGCAAAAGCAGTGTGTAAACTAAGTCCTCTGGTCAATATTAGCCTTTTAAATGTCATTTTCAGCATTTAATTTTGACCATGCTGCAATTGGGATACTTATTTTAAAGAGATCTTTGCTAAACCACAGATAAATTCACGTTAAACATGCCTCTGCTTTATGTTATTTCATAGCGTCAAAACAGACGAGATGTACATCCATGTTTGCATCATTTCGCATAAATTATCATCCATCACTATTATATTATTATTTATTTATTTTAAGAGGAATTTAAATAGATTCCGTCAAATAGGTCTCCCTGCTGAATTATACCCTCTTTGCTTTTTACAAATACATTTCCTTTTCAGCAATAACACCCTGAAAGCTTGGGGGCACCTTGTCCGTACGCTGCTCTCGGGGGCGAGCTCCTCCAATGTGTGCGTGCGCGCAAGAGCGTGTTTGAGTGTGTGTGCGCGTGAGAGCGTGTGAATGTGTGTGTGTGTGTGTGAGAGTGAGTGTGTGAGTGTGCGTGCGTGCGCGCGTGTGTGTCTGCTCATTAGCTGTTGCTGCCCTTTGATCCCTGCATTAGTGTTAGTTTAGGGCTCGGAGAAAAACACTTGCACCGAGGCAGCCATTAGTCAAGACACGGCAACAACAACAGCGGCACCCTCCTCCGCATGTGTTGTCCCATTCCTCCCCCAACAATACACTTTAAAACCGAGCAAAGCCAGGTGGCACGACCACCAAGTCCCTGCCATCACTGGCGCCTCCAGTCTCAATGGGAAAAACCTTTTTTCTTCTTATCCCTAAACAAGGACGAGAATGTGATTAAAAACGGGGGAAAATGCCAAGGAGGAAGCAGGAGCAACCCAAGCGCCTGCCTTCACGTAAGTCGTTCACTCGATTTGTTCAATTTTAACGGCTCTCGGTGTGTTTTGCGCAGTAGTTTAGGGTTAAAGAGGTGAAACAGACAAAAGACTCGGCGTAGGTTATTTCTCCCTTTTTTAGGTCCGAGCGAGGCAGCCATGTTGTTGGCGATGGGTAACGTTAGCAAGGCAGTTGAGTGGATAAATGATACGTGGCTTTATTAAAGAGTATAATCGATAAAAGGTCCGATTCCGCTAAAAAAAAAGGGGGGAGGGGGGGGGAGAAAAAAAAAAGAAGATGAAGACGGTCAGTTGGCGTAATGTGTCGGTTGTGTGTGAGGAATAACGGCCGAGCGGTTTTCGGGTAATGTGTTCGCCTCTGCTAGGTCGCTTTTCGGGTAGAAAGGGGAGGATCTGGGAGTCTGGCCGCAATAAAATGAAGGGTCAGTCGGATCAGACAAGCCAGAGTCTGGGCTACCCGTACCCTAGTGTTCCTAGTTAGCAATAGCGCTATCTAGCAACGCTCGGTAAACTTCATTTCCTCGGCGATAAAAACGTCTTAACTTTCGCCTCCATAGTTTTGCTTTTTTTTTTGCTTTGCTTCCCAATCGCGGAACCGAATTTGTTCGCGCTTGTTTGTCGTCGACTTTTTTTTTTTTTT